GGACCAAATATGCAACGAAATTTAACAAATGAATATTGTAGACTAAAAATTCTATATTTTGGTAACCATGGGAACGATTTTCTAAATATGCACATAAAAATATTTTAAGCCATATTAATCTTATTAATATACTGCATTGAATAGAAAAGGTAGATTTAAAAAAATATGGTTTAACTTTATAAAGAAACAAAGCTTATATAATTTATAGTTTTCTGGGTAAAGGAAAAAATGTGTTTTATTTTTCTTTGAACCAGTTACAACAATCATGAAAAGTTTTTTATGTTTGTAAGATTTTTTTGGTAATTCATTTATATAATATTGTTATGAAGAAAAAAAATATTTAAATATGCTGCTTAAATCATTTACTATTTATTTTAGATAAGAAAAAAAAAATAGAATGGACGCATTTGCTATCTAAAAACTAAAAACACAATTAAACAGGAAAAAGGTTACAAAATCAGTCATGTAGATCTTTGTTACCTTTTCATACGCGAACATACACTGGTGTTTGGGGATTGAGTTTTGAAAACAAAAAGCATTTCACAACGTAAAATATTATAATCTGATAAAAATCTTTTAGAATATTTGGCAAAAACTGCTTACATATTTTGACCTATATTGTGATAACAAGGGAGAACCATCAATGGAAAAACGATATGAAGGTGAATAGAAGATGGGCGTTTGTTTACTGTTTATGTTAAAATAAGAGCATTAATGTTGTTTTATCTTAAAAATCTATAAATCAATTTTAAAAAGTCTAAGGAGAATAACCTTCTAAAACCTTTCTATTAGACCATTTTTAATGATAGTTTTTCAAAAGTTTTTACTACTCGAAAAAAAAAAATTGAAAAGTTTTTTACCATTGAAATGAAGTTTTTCTGTCATTCCAACCATTTATTATTCTCTAACATTTTAATTATTTTAATGGTTTGTCTGTTTTGGATTTATATTTCGTAACAGTTTATTTTACACTTTAGTTATATTTAGATATTAAAATTTTAATTTGTTAATTACTGAATCTATTTTATTTAATATTTAAAATAGATTTGCATATAGCTTTATAAAAAGTTATATAATTGTCAAAATTTTAAAGATGATACATATACCAAGGATTAAAAAACGTTACCATAACATACTATATAATCTTTTTTTATTTATTTATTTACTAAGATGTTAATAATAATATGAATTAATTCTATTGAAAAAAAATGATCGTGTACTTAAAAATTGAAAAATAATACTAAGGTAGTTTATATAACATATAAGATGATTAAAATAAATAGTTTAAGTTCTAAAAAAATCTTAATCATTGGACCGAGTTTATAACCAAAGCTTTTTAAAGATCGTTAGAAATCTGATATGATTAATGAAAAAAGCTTTTTTAAAATGTTAATCATTAGAGATGTCGTTAGTTTTATAAAAAGAAATTTAAGAAGCTTTTTTTTTTTTTTTTTTAAATTGCCACGATCAGATGTCATATTATAGGGTATACTAGCACAGCCTCATGCAACCCCTTCGGACAACTCAACAAGACCTTCATACCAAAAAGAGAATGAACAAGGAAAACAAATAAAAAATAAAAAGAGAAGTTGTGATTTTAGATGTGGGCTACCACACTAACCACCACATCACCACCATGCCATATAGGGGTGGTGACGTCCTGATCAAGCTTCCACATCACCATTATATTCATTGCATTTTAAGTATAACCAGTAGCCTTGTTATAACTTATATCATTAAAAAAAAAAAAGCAAAAAAAAAAACCATATATTAATAAGTTATTCTAGAATCCAATCAACTCATAAAAAGCGTCTTTTATGAATAGGATGATAATAAGAAATTATTTGGGTTGTGTGACTTTGTAAGATAATTATAAGACATCTGAAAGATATGATAAATAATCTATTGATCTATGTTTAAATCCGTGCGCTACTTAGCTCTTATAGCCATTGATGTTCGTCTGCAATAACTCTAGGACATGAAACATAGCCTCATATTCGTAGCTGGGGATTAATCGATGAGCGAAAACTTACCTGAAAATCCTCGTTAGGAAAGTTTACTTTCCAAAAGATTTTTTTTTTTTAAATAAGATGCTCAATCACAAAAAGTGTATTTTTTTAATCAACTATCACTATTTGTTAATGAGTTTAATAAGATGCTCAAAATCTTGATCTTTATATAAATAACTTTATGATTCATATCGATCTTTAAAATATTGAGAACTTAAATATTTTTTTATTTTTGTTCCTATAAATTCTTTTATCCAATTAAACGATAACATTTATCATATTAATATATTAAAATATCATTAAATTAGTATTAACCAATAAAATTTATAAGAAAAAAATAGAAAGGTGTTTAATTTCTCTAAAATATTGCACTCGTCTTATACTGTGAAATCAAGCATCAATTTTGAACTTGTAATTTTCGTTTACACACGTTTATAATGAAATAATGAAAAACCGATCATACGGCAAAAAGCATTTTATTTTAGAAATTTTGTTAGAACACAAGGGTAAGATTGACTTTTCATAAGAAAAACTAAAGTAGCGGCAACAAGTGATAGTGATCTCAACCTTCAGAATATTGGGCATCCATAAATATTAAACACACTTATCCTAAATCATCATATACAAAACATATATGGGTCTGAATATTTTATACCTCCTCCTTCTTTTTGCCACCACCGCCCACCACCACCTCAGGGCGGCGGCACTTCCACTCTCCACAAACTCACGATGGATTGTCGACGACGGAAACGGCGGAGAAAGAGTGAAACTATCGTGCGTGAACTGGGTTAGCCATCTAGATGCGGTGGTCGCAGAGGGATTAAGCAAACAACCGGTGGATATGATCTCGAAGAAAATCTTGGAGATGGGATTCAACTGTGTAAGACTAACATACCCACTTTTCTTATTCACAAACGACACCCTAGGGTCAGTTACAGTCAGACAATCGCTTCGAAAACTTGGATTGATCGAGTCAATTGCCGGATTTCAAGCCAACAATCCTTCCATTATTGATCTCCCACTCATCAAAGCTTTTCAGGTACCTAATTTTTACTTAGACTTCATGTCTATTTATAAACTAATTTGATCGGAGTGTATAAAAAAGCATCAATCAATCGAGTAGAGTTCAATAACTTGATTGATTTTTTTTTTTTTTTTACAGGAAGTTGTATCAAGTCTGGATAGAAACAACGTGATGATAATATTAGATAATCAGATAAGCAAGCCTGGATGGTGTTGCAGTGATTTCGATGGTAATGGCTTCTTTGGTGATCAATATTTTGACCCTGATGTCTGGTTAAAAGGTCTCACAAAAGTCGCCACCATCTTCAACAACTCAACCAATTTTGTTGCTATGAGTTTAAGAAACGAACTCCGTGGACCTAAACAAAACATCACCATTTGGTACAGGTAACATTAAAACTTAATGAAAACATAACTTAATCTGAAGGGGTTGTTTAATATCCCACTTACCACGACTACTGATAAGAGGTTGAGTGTGTGTGACTCTACTGTATCACACTTAGAAGCCTCTGACTCTATCCTCCTTTGTGTTGACTCCTCCTCTGACTTATTCAGTCAGATTTAGGGCTCAATTAGTAACTATCAAACAACCCTATAATTTGGTAAGCTATATATATATATATATATATATATATATATATATATATATATATATATATATATATATATATATATATATATATATAAGTGTTTGTTTTTTGTAATTTGATCGTTTTTATAGGTACATGCAAAAAGGTGCAGAAGCTGTTCATGCAGCAAACCCTAATCTTCTAGTTATCATGTCTGGTTTGAGCTATGATAAAGATTTGTCTTTCCTTCAAATCCAACCTGTAACCTTAACATTTAGTCAAAAACTGGTTTTTGAAGTCCATTGGTATGGGTTTTCAAATAGTGAAGAATGGGAAAATGGTAACCCAAATGAGGTATGTGGGCGGGTGGTTGATAGTATAACGAGAAAAGCCGGGTTTTTATTGGACAGTGGTTACCCTTTGTTTGTAAGTGAATGGGGTATAGATCAAAGGGGCACAAACGACAATGACAATAGGTACTTGAATTGTTTTTTGGCATGGGCAGCTAACCATGACCTTGATTGGGCTTTATGGACACTTGCGGGAAGTTACTATTTTAGGCAAGGTGTTGTTGGAATGGAGGAGTTTTATGGTGTTTTGAATTGGGATTGGTGTCGTCCAAGAAATTCAAGTTTCTTGGAAAAGATCTCAGCTGTCCAATCTCCTTTTCAAGGTAATACAGATAGACCCAACCATATCCTTCGGATATCTGGTCAGGCCTACCAGATATTGGTTTTGCTTATTATACAGTTGTATAGTATAATAAGCCCTGATCAATTCCAATTATGGAATTGATCAGGAATATCAGATCCTTCTGGTTTTGCTTATTGTACAGTTGTGTATGTTATGCAGGACCAGGATTATCAAATACACGTCCGCATAAAATCATTTTCCATCCATCAACGGGGCTTTGCGTGCAAAGACAATCGTTTTTCAAGCCGTTGATTTTGGGACCGTGTTCGGGAGCAGAGCATTGGGATTACACCGCGAGAGAAATCCTAACAATTAAGGGAACATACTATTGCCTACAAGCAGATGGAATTGGGAAGAACGCAAAATTAGGGATAATATGCACAGATCAATCTTCAAAATGGGAACCAATATCAGCTTCGAAACTACATCTTTCATCAAAGATCAACAATGGGACAGTTGTTTGTCTGGATGTAGATTCTGAAAACAATATTGTCACAAATAACTGTAAATGTTTGACCAATGGCAACACGTGTGACCCTGCTAGCCAGTGGTTTACAATCATTAATGCCACGTCAGGGTCCAGTGCAGCAAAAGGGTATTTTCCTATTAGTTCGCTTCTCCAATCTTTTGGAGCAAACTTATTAGTATGAAAAGTGTATGTAAATATTGTAAATTTGAATACTAACTTCGAATAAAATTCAGCAACTTCATATTCCATAACATGAAATGATAACATGATAACAAACAACTGGATTCAGTGTCGTTTAAACTCAAGCAGCTCGTTCTAAACGAAAAGAAGACATAATTTGCTGAAACAAAGGGTAGAAATGGCAAACTTATTCTTCCATGGCATCTCCTCCCACTTGAACTACTTCAACCAGTTCCTTCAGTGGTGTAATCCTTGTAAGCAGAACTTCTGTAAACACAAATTGGATCATTAGAATCAGATAAAAGCATAGATAAATGGAAACTTATTTTAAACTTATGGGAATATGGTGAGATTACTAACCAGCTTTTTTGGAGAAAGTATAGCCTCTTTCACTGATGTAAGTTCGGGGATTTGGAGTGAGATGATTGCGCAGATACTCCTTCTTACCCTTTTCTATCACACACACATCAACATTGCTTCCACTTCCCAAATCATTAAATATTCCAGAACATATAGCTTTGGTTACCAAGTTTACCCCTTCATCCCTCTGTTTAATAAAATGAACACTCATTGATTACCAAACTGTTAAAGATATGAATATTTGAATATGTGAAAAGTGTAAGAACTCACAGTAAGTCCTTCACGATACTCTGATTCAAAGATAGCCATTGCAGCAAGAGAACCAGATCCCATTGTGGCAAATGGGAGTGTGTCAGTTGATCCATGAGGATAAATCTAAAAAAAGGTAAATTGTTTTGGAACAATTAGTATGTCATCTTAATTGTAAAAACTAATTTTCAAATACCCGATAAATAAATCAACTTACAGTGTGGAGATGAGGGCCTGTGACATCAACTCCACCAAGTACCAAAGCAGCAGAAACATGGCCTTGGTAGCTGAGTAAGTGAAAACAAAGTCAGATACTTCTAAATAACAGAAGGAAAAATAAAAAGAATCATAAATAATGTTATGCTTACCGAAAAAGATGAGATTTTAACAGTGTAAGTGCTGTTACAACTCTTGATTCACGACCAGTGTGATATCTGTGTAGCTTCAGTTGAGAGCTGATGTTGTCTAATAAAAAAGAGATGTATAGGACTAAGTTAAGGGGAGGGGATCTTTAAAAAAAGTGATGGAGTGAAACAGAGATGACTGAAAGAGTACCTGTAACAGCTTCTGTATCAGCAGCAGTTCCAGCTCCACAACAGTAAATGTTTGGTGCCATGTAATGAATCTTCTCACAGTTCTTATCCGCAACAATGGGACCTTCTGTGGCTCTGGTATCTGCTCCAAGAATCACACCATTCTGAAGATGAAATGGTGATGATTAGAGGTAATTCATCTCAAGAGAAACTACTTAGGTTTATGATCATGGTAAGCCTAAGCAATTGTATACTTTTGATGACTAATTTGTTTATTTCAGTAAACCCTAGAAATACACAACTTCATCACATTTTCTAGTGTGATACAGAAACATTTGACTAAAAGTATTTATAATCTTACTTCAGATAAACCCAATTCAGATTAAACAAAACATATAAAGCTGTTAACAGAGCAAGCAAGCAAACAAACAAACATAACAGAAGCACAGCGTACCTCAAAGATTAAGCCAACGATGGTGGTTCCCGTTTTAAGATACCCAGGAGGTTTCAAGCCTTTCTTCGCCAGCATATCGTTTCTCCTACACAGGTCGAAACTGAATCCGGTTTTCGGAACATCCATTGTCGTATTTGACATCTTCAGATACCTAAATTACAACAAATCTACTCCAATCATAAAAATAAACGAATTATTAACGAGTTTGGGAGGAACACCCCTAATTAGGGATTAGTAGTGATCGAAAATTAAAATACTACACGAACAGCTACAAACAAACTGAAACTGCATATGTTGGTTCTCAGATATGATCGACTTACGAGTTCACTACTGATCGAGAGCGCAACCGATTCGTAGAAATCTCAAAATCTGCAAAGAGATTTATGAATATAACATAGAAATCTTGGGTAGAAAGGCAATGGGGTTGTCTCGCTTCGTCTACATATGTTCTTCAAAATAACACTTACGCCCCCTGTATTTTGGAATATATTCAATTATAGGACTTTATTTCTCATTATGGTCCAATAGACCATGGGTGCTCATGCCATTTTAATTTTGCTATTTTTTAAGTATATATTTAATGAAAAGAAGAACAACTCAAGTTTGGAAAATATAAGAGGAAATCAACTATTCAACGGATAGAATGAATTATAATAACCCTAGTCACAATACGTTGAAATTTGAGAATTGAGATATTATAGTTTTTTTTAGTCCACGATCTACAACTTTTGTTTAGACTTCGTCGGCTAATTTTAACTTTTTTTTATTATTTACTTTTAGTAGACCGGGATAGGAAAATTCCGTTATAAATTTATAACTTCTTCATCTGACGTCCGTTTTCGCCTATCTTTTTATCGTTTTACTACAATTAATGAGATATTCGATTCTCATTTAGATTGTTTCAGCTAAAAACCGCTCGGTCTCAAATCGAGTATTCGGGCTGCATACCGCTAAATCGAAACTTCGAAAAATCATAACTTTCTCATACGAAGTCAGATTTGGGCGTTCTTTTTATGCACGCTCATGGTTTAATGTATTCTACGACTTTCATTTAGATTGCTAAGGCTAAATATCGCTTTAACGTAAATTCACTTTTTACGTCGCGCTGTGTTGTACCGGTTCTGTCGCGAAACTTCGATAGGTCATAACTTCTTCGTTATAACTCGGATTTCGGCGTTCTTTATATGCACGGAAACCTTGTAACATATACTATAACTTAGTTAAGATTATTCCTTCAAAATAATCTTCCATCAAAAAGTCATTTTTGACGCTTAACGTCTCTAATTGACTAGCCCGGATCTACGGACGTTACAGTCATGTTGGTTCTGTCGCGAAACTTCGACAGGTCATAACTTCTTCGTTATAACTCAGATTTCGGCGTTTTTTATATGCACGAAACCTTGATACATATACTACAACTTGGTTATGATTATTCATTCTAAACACTCTTCTATCAAAAAGTCATTTTTGATGCTTATCGTCTCTAAATTAAGTAACCCTGATCTACGGGCATTATATAAACAAATCATTAAGACTAGTTTTTTTTTCAAAGGATTAATAAAAGATTCATGGAAATGTACAGAAGTTACAATGACATTTACATGATAATGTATCAAACACTGAGATTTTTTTAATAAAATGCAATCTTGATCAATGGAATTCATAAAGATTTAAGAAATAAAGAGATGATAGTTGGTTTAGTCTTTATGATGGTTGCCCTCATTTCCCTTATTGTTGATGTTGGTTGTTTCCACCCCATTTCCCCTGTTGCATGTTCTTAATATGACTATTCATATGTTGATTTCGTTTCAAAACACCCATTTCCTGATACCGTCACCTTCCCTTGTTCTGAATCTATATTGACGATATATAGTAAAACAAGAAAAAATATTGAATTTCAAGGAAACTCAACAGTGAACTAATTTTAATTACCCATAAATACATACAATAATTGGAAAACAAAACTAATTATTCAAATGGGAACACAATACCATCAATTTTCTGACCCATCAAGCCTAATTTCCAACTTTTCTTTATTCTCAATTGCCTATATAAAAACTTATATATGACAGATCCATATTAATATTCAAGGAAATATAAGCACAACCATATTTAAATACCGATTAAGGCATAACATAACAAGAATTTTAGCTAACTAAATGTTTCTTACTGAATAACTCTAAGATTCATCCCAGTTAACTAGTAATGAACAAAATTAATATTCTTTAAAGGAGGAAATAAGTGAAGGAAATGATTTTAATATTATGAGCATTCAAGAAGTTAATGGGGGTGTATGATATGTTGATTTCAAGGGATTTATCGAGAATTGGAATTCAATTATGTTTTAGTTCCATGTTTGGTTGTAAATGAATATGAAACTAAATTTAGTTAGAATTCATATGTTTTGATAGATGGATATTAACATTCTACACTAATTAAGTTTACAGCATTATGACCCAACAAGAAAACAAAACTAAGCAAGCAACAAATAATTTCAGATTTATGACCCTAAATTTTGATGATAAGATGATGATTCAACTTCATGCCCCAAATTTGAGGTCAATCAATCAAGTTTAGATTTTCAGAATAACACAATTTACAAAGGGTTGGTCAGGGAAGAGAAGAGAGCAATGACATTGCAGGTCAAAGAAGAGAGAAAACGAGTAGAATACTTGTGGAGGAGAGTTTATCGGTGTGACTGGTGACGGTGACAGTGGTTGTGGGTGACTAGTGACGACGTCACCGTCACCTGAGATATAGCAGAAGAAGGAGAGGTAGGGATGTCAGCGAGGGAAAACGGGACTGAGATTGCATCCCCCGCCCCCACCCAAGATATTTTCCCATTCCCTAGCCCCTACCCCTAAAATTTCCAGCCTCCCTACCCCCGCCCCCGCCCCCAAATTCATGGATTACTCATCGCCCCCGCCCCCGTTTCACCGCCTCCGATTGATTTTGAGGTATTTTTTATTGGGCTAAAAGAAGTTGTTTTTTAGGTTTAAAGAAACTATTCTTGTTGGTTAAAAATAGTTATTGATAACATAATTTTACATGTTAAAAACAAAAAAATATTATCACATCTCAAAAATGTTATATTAACAACTTAAAAACATGATTTTTTTTGTTGACTTTTGGAAGGTCAGAATCATTGTTATTATTTATTATATTTATATAATTAATTTATATAAATATTATATAGTATCTTAACGGGGCCCCCATAGGGGTTTGGGACGGGACCGCCATGTTCTTTTTAACAAATATCTCTCATATGAGATCGGAGCCCTACGCATTTGGGGTCCTACAAGACTTTTTGACATCCCTAAGGAGAGGTGTGGTACGGACTATCATTAAAGAAACAAGGCCCTTTAGAAGAAAATGACATATTTTCCCTCATGTGAGTGTCACGTGGGGTAGTTAACAACAACAACTTGATGGGAGTTAAGTCTGGGACCATTTTCACATAGAACATGGCCAAAATGACCGTGAAACCAAAAAAGTCAGAGTTTGGACTAAAACCCGACAAAATGCATACAACAGGGACTATTTTTGTAGTTTTGTCTTTAAAATGTCTCTTACTTAGTCACGGTGAGAATAAGGGTTGAATTTAACCAATGAGATATGACTCAGTAAATACACTATAAACAACCTTTAATTTCATGTTATTGGTTCTATATGAAATAAAGTATTTTGTGAATGAAATTATTGGGCCATGCTTGTCGGACATGAAAGGCATGCTAACAAAAATTAAACGGCCTATCAAGTGATTATTAAAAAAAATCCATTTTAACGTATGATGCCTAGTTCCTGAGTTTAATAAAAGAAAAAAGAAAGTCATGAGAGAAAAGAAGAGAAATGAAAGAAAAACAAAATTTTCTTTTGTGTTTCCGAATTGAAGAGAAGTAAAAGGAAAATTAATCATTTTGTTCTTTTCTTTCTAAATGCTCCCAAATCGGAAGGAAAGTTAGGAAAGAAAGTGATCATTCCATTTCTCTCATTCATTTAATTAAATTCGGGAACACCAATTTCTTTTATTTTCTTCTTATTTCTACAATTTTCTTTCTTTTCTCTCGTTAAGTCTTGAACTCGGAAAGAGGATGTTACTAGACGGTATAAGGGCCCCATTCATTTGGAGCAGATAAATGAAGTACACCACTACTTAACATAAACTTAAAATAAAAAGATCATATCGAAACATTGACCACATCAAATTTCATTATATATTACATGCATATATAACACTGAACTCTAATTAACAATTGAAATAAGCTCATAACTATTAAAATAAAGAAGCAAGCAACATCATGATGTCAAAATCAACATCAATCTATGAACTTGGCCCTAGGCTCCAGTGTAACCAACAACCCATGTTTCATATAGAGTGTAGTGTTTACTTTTGGACATACTTTATGGCCTTTGACCACTTTTATTGTGTACCTCCATAGAATCGAAGCAACCACCATTTTCATCTGCATATATGCAAACTTTTTGCCCACACATAACCGTGGACCTGCATTAAACACCGTGTATTTGAACTGGCTTTCGCTGATGAATTCACCATCTCTGATCCATCTTTCAGGCCTAAACTCACAACAATCTTTACCCCATATGGTCGGCATCCTAGCCATGCCATACATGACGTATACTATTCGTGCACCCTTTTCGATTGGGGTCCCATCAGGGAACATGTCGTCTTCTTGTGGCTCTTTGTGGTCAAATGAGACAGGAGGATATAGACGTAAGGATTCTGTTATTGCTGCTTGAAGATACACCATTTTCTTTAGCTCTTCTTCTGTGAAGGTTGTGTTTTCTTGATTTTCCTTGTCGGGGTTTTCTCTTTGTTGTAAAATGTTGTGGATTTCCTCGAGTATTCGGGTTTCTACTGATGGGTTTTTGGTAATTAACCAAAAGAACCATGCTAGTCCAACAGAGCTGGTGTCTCTACCTGCTAAGATGAAACTTATGCAGAAATCTTGAAGTAGTTTATCAGTAAAAAACACTTCTTCTCTATCCTGTTCCATGATGATAAGCCTTGACAAAAGATCACACCTTGAGTTGTTATTTATAGCCTCCTTGTTACCTAATAATTCCATCTTTCTTTCTTTTACTGTTTTCTCAGCAAAACCATGCACAATTTTGACAGCTTCATGTAGTGTTTTCTCAAACCCTAATCTGAAAAACTTCATTGGTTTCCACACATATGGAGGCATCAAGAACCTCAGCAAACTTGCGTAAGTCACTTGTTCAAATGCCTTGGCGAAGGGTATGTCTGGTAACTCAACTTCCAAACACCCCGAATTAACACCAAATGCCACAGCACAAGTATTGTCAAAAGTGAAACGAAGAAGTACATCTTGCAAATCAATAACACATCCTTTTTTCGCCTCTAGAAGCTTCAACAATTTCTCATGCACCAACGTTTTGATGGCGTTCATGGAGAATTGTGTGAAGCGAGTTGAGTGCATCTCAGAGTTAGCCACACGACGTTGTTGCCTCCATAACTCATCATCAGCATTAAAAATCCCATCTCCAAGAAAATCATAAAATCTTTCCCTATAAGCTTTACCCTTCGGGTAGTTCTTGAAATTTGTTTTGAGTATGTACTCGATTTTCTCAGGATCACATGTGGCAATCCCATAAGTACCACCCATCCACATACCTCTATAGTAAAAGCTTCCACCAGATTTGACCAAAGCTTCGCCACCCCATTCATAAATGTGGGTCACATGTAAGAGTACAGTTGGAAGTATGCCAAAAACCGGCCATGTCATAGGACCCTTTGTGGTGAGTCTTTGAACTATGGAGTTGAAGATGAAGACAATAAGGAGTCCTATGGCTATGTCTGAGAACCATATATGGGAATACAACCATTTTGGTAAGGAGAATATGAGGCTCTTGATCATGTTGTACTCCATCTTTTGTTTTTGTGATGAGGATTTTTTGGTTTCATGAAATAATAGATGAGGGGTTGTATATGAGAGGGTATTCAAGAGAGTACATCAAGCTAATCAAATGTACAATCTATGTATCAATGTATATGCATGAGAGAGGGCGTGAGATTGGTGTGCTTTATGGATCTCGGTTATGTATATGCATATATATTTATATAAGTTGTTCTAAGTTTCAGACGGCTCTTTTGGTAAGTTGTAACTCATTTTGTAACAACCATCTTACCATGCAAATTGTGTGTGAGTTTTTATCTAAGTTTAAGTACAAAACTCGTGTTATATATTTACGTGTGGAGAAGTTTTTTTTTTTTTTTGTCCCAAATTTCAATCGCTTGATTAGAAATGATGAAAAAAATCATTGATGTCACAAAAATCATATGACAATAGCAGTTTAATTTGAATCTTTCTTAGAAATTCAAAATGTTACTCATCAATATTAGATTTCATATGTAGGATTCTATTTTATAATCACCATTAAGATCCTTTTAAAGTATAAAGTTTTAATCTTTGGTAATCAATTAATATTTTATTTAGGGTGGTGCTAATTAAATGGACCCATTGAAGGGACATATAGGTCTCAGACGATGTGTAGGAGAGGGGTTCATTTTAGATCACATTTTATTTTAGTGAGCCATCTTTGGAAAGATTAATGAATGATCAAGCCACCTTTAACGAGCAATAATGCATGATCTCATGACCCCCACGTAAGTGTATTAATCATTTATATATGAAGTGTGGTTTTATCATATTGTTTATATGTATGCATGCAACAAAAGCATAGGAAGATATAGAGGAATTCTTACTAAATTTGATTCGAGGTGATGAAAGACTGATAAGTGTATAACAGTCAAAGGATTAAACGTGAATCATTAATTTGTCTATCAAGATTCAAGACTGGTTTTGACATATTATATGCATGTCAAAATCATAGCTATACAAAGATGCAGAGGATGAAGTTTGAATCTTTCTTACTCGAGCTTTTACTACGAGTTCAGATGAGGGTTTTTGATAAATTAAGATAGTATTTTTGTTTGAACTTGAAACGGGCAAATGATGAATGAAACTCTTTAGGTGGAATTTGAATATAACAGGAAGTGATCAACTCATGAGTCATGCACATGGTAGTTGAGTACAATTAATAAAATATACATACCATTTGATTATTTCGTAATTTTGTTTGGTTTGTAGATACATCTTGAAAATTATGATGTAAATATTGGTAATTTCCTAATCATGATGATGATACTACTTATAATAATGATGATATGAACGTCTCCACAGATCTGAAATTCTATATAACTACTTTCCTACTACTTCTATAGACATTGATTAATCCATGATAATATCAAAGATTTTATCAGATTGTTTATTTCGTTCCAAGGATCTTCACATTCATACTTAATTTGCTTTTTTGGATATATATTTTCCCACATATATTACATGCTTACAAGAAGGTTTAAGAACCTCGACCTCCTTTTTCTTTTTCTTTTTCTTTATAAATCTACTTTTTGCTTTTTCGAACGTCTCCCCATATTTAGCAAATAGATCCACCCAAGTCCACTTGATGAGTTGTACACATGCTATAAGTACTTGTACTATAACAGTCTACTAAAGGTTTACCTTGTATATCTCACTATCCTTTCCACAGTTAATAATTATACTACGTCAAATAGACAAAGCAATGGGTAGGAGTTGATTCAAGTTCAGCCATGGAGTTAAGTGGAAATGACAGTTTCACCCCTCAATCTCCCTCTACAGAACTATCACTTCAGCAAGAATTCATCATAAATAAGACTATACTCACCCATGAAACCAACCAACATATTGTGGATTGCAAGATTTTATTTCAAGCCATGGAAAATGTCATGTTCTACGCATCTAATTCCAGCAATGTATTTATTATAACCATAGTTCTTGATTCTTTCAATCATTTAGATTCTTGATCTTTATAATTAACAAAGTTGTCAAATTCTTGTTGCAGGATATTGATGATGTGTGCATTCTTGATGGTATTGAAAACTTTGCTTCCAAAGAAACTTTGGATCATGCTGTTTATAAAATTTCACGTGCGATACTATTGCAGTGTCATGACACCATGGATATGCACACAAGAACTCTAGTTTTACTAGAGATGTTAGGGAATTACAGATGGGATGCAAAAGTGGTTTTAATACTCACTGCATTTGCAATAAGTTATGGTGAATTTAGGTTGATTCTTGATGTTTATGCACAAAGTTCACTAGCAGCATCACTTGCAACACTCAAGAACTTGTGTTGGAGAAATTTTGAAGCTTTGAGACCCCAGCTTAGGGCTATGGAAATGCTAATTAAAGAAATGGTGGAATTGGCTAAATGTGTGGTTAGATTTGAAAGCTTGCCTCTTCAACTTGTACTTTGTGATGATCATGGTTGTACTTTAATGGCTGCTGTGAAGTCTCAGATTTACTTGGCTACTTATTGGATCTTTAGAAGCTCATTGACATCTGCTTCTCAGATCAGAGACTTGATTGCCATGAAGCAGGAGCAAGTGCTTGTTCTTTTCTTTTCTTTTTTCTTATATTTCACTTTTCTTGGTTACATCATTATAACCATTTATATAATAAAGCTCCAAACTTTATTCCAGGAATTCGAATGTAACTGCAAATGCAGCATGGGGTTTGTCTAGTTTGGCTCTTAGGTTGAGCAGATTATGCAATTGCCTCGGACTACAGGTTGATGCATCTCAAAAACAGATAGGTAATACACTCAGAAAGGAATCTTGAATCTTGAATCTTGAATCTTGTCATTAGGGAAATGAAAGATTTTTTTTTATGTATTAATTATATTTTATTTGTGTATCTTTGGTAGAGGAGAAATTGTACAAAATGCTGATGGATCTTCTCAAGGATCAGACACAAGTTGATAATCAAAAAGCGCTTCACTTATTCTTTTCTTTGAATGATGATATGCCCCTCAAAGATTCTTCTTGTTCTCAGTCAAAGGTAATTAGCGCTTTCTTTTATTAAAGTGTGTAGGGACCCAAAATGAGGTCCAATGTACACTCACACTTTTTGTTATTTTATTATATACTTAGGTTGAAAAATCCTCAATATAGTTTAATAACTTTAACTGCTTTGTAAAACAGATAGGTATATCTAAACTGAAACAGAAGATCGTAATGCTTTTGGTTTCAAAGCCGGATCTTTTGCCAATAGATCAAACTCTACTGCTGCTACAGCAAACACATGAGCATCCTCACAACAAGAACATAGAGCAAGATTACGAAATAGTGTGGGTCCCGATTTCGTCTTCAGAAACATGGACTCTTGATGAACTCGTAAGTTTTGATTACTTATCGAACTCGTTACCATGGTTGTCAGTCAGGCAACCATGGTTGCTAAACTCAGCAGTTGTGAGAATGATCAGAGAAGAATGGAAGTTTGAAGAAAATCCATTAATGGTGGTATTAGATTCACATGGATTGGTTTCGAATTACAATGCAATGGACATGGTGTTGATTTGGGGAGCAAAAGCTTTTCCTTTTTCGGAATGGAGAGAGAAAGAGCTTTGGGAGGAACAAAAATGGAACTTCCAGTTTATGTTTGAAGGAATAGATCAATCCCTAACGAACACAGTAAGATTCAAGAAATTAGTTATATCGGTGAATCCTAGTTTTCTGTTTCTTTAATGATATAAGAAAGATACAAAAGAATAAGAAGCGAACCCATGTAGATTCGAACTCAATTCCATGTGGGGTCGTATCTTTTCTGGTTTTATCTATCGATCTCATCATCATTATCATCATTGATGTGATTAAAATATTGGTCTTTTTAAATCAGTTTTCAGAGACAGTTATATCAATGATTCTAATCAGTTGGAACTAAACAAGAAGTTGTGTTTTAGGGTTTTGAACATCTTACATTTGTGTTGTTCTCAGGTGGATGGAGGCCGAAATATTTGCATATGTGGAAGTAGTAACCTAGACTGGATAGAGGAATTCGAATCAAGAATCAAGAAACTACAAAATTCAGGCTTGCAGATTCAAGTAATCTACATCGGAAGCAGAAACGCCAGTGAAAACACGCAAACAAAAGTAGGGTTTTTCAACAAAGACATCTCCTTCACTCCCATAAAGATTCGGTTTTTCTGGCGAAGGTTGGAGAAGATCAAAGATTCAATCCTTCGTGTAGGCCAATTTCATAATTTTGCTAACTATGAAACCATTTTGAAGCAAGTCTCAGAATTGCTAGACACCGATGATGATAACAACAATTGGGCTGTTTTTGGATGTGGGAATTCTAATGATTTGGTGAAGTTACAAGGAAACAAAATCTTGAAATTCTTTGAAAGCATTCATGTTTGGGGTCTAAAACTTGCAACATTGGGGTTGGTGGGTGCGATCAGAAGCGTTGATGATGATGAAGTGAACAACACGATGATGACTTGTGATCACACAAACATGGTTCCATATGATCAAGGACCTGTGATTTGCGATAAATGTAAGCGTCTGATGAAACCGTTTGTTGTTTATCAATGTGATGGATCCAAATAGAGTGTTTTAGATTAGTAATAAAGACGATGCTGTTTTATCGAAAAACATCCATGAAATAAGTGTAGTTCTTTATAGTCGCTGTTTTGTATTGTTCACACAGTAGCCTCGATACATAAATGTGTATTTGACACTTTTTTGTTGTCAAACAAGTGAACAACTGATATATATCGCGAAAACATGATTGATTATTCTGAACCATGTTTCAATAAAACTTTACCATTATATGGTTGCTAAAAAACCCACCATAGTTTGTGTAGTTTTAAACAAATTTTGTAAATTGTAGTCCGATTTATTTGTAAATTTAGACCATTTAGAATTAGACAAAAAGCCCCTATAGCTCAGTGGTAGAGCGCCAGTCTTGTAAACTGGAGGTCTGTAGTTCGATCCTGCATGGGGGCAATTGTTTGACATTTTATTATTTTTGTTTTCGTAACTT